TTAGAATTTTTAAATTTCAAAAATATTTGAAGATATTCAAAAGTCATTTATATTTTCTAAAACATAAATTTATAATTATTTTTAAAATAAAATTATTAATACTTGAGATATGCACTGATTTATTTTTTAAAATAAATATATTATAGTAGTAAGGGGAAAAATAATATTGAATTTTTTATGTTAGTGCAATTAAATACTTAAAAATAGATATAATGATTTGATATCTTATTGTAATATAATGAAGTGTTGATTGGGTTTGATTTTAATATTTAAATTTTCTACTAATATTTATATCTGTATATATATATATATATATATATATATATATATTATACCAAATTCCAAGTTCAACTTTAAATCAGAAATTTTAAATAAACTTTTAATCAAAAATTTAAATTTGAAAAAGAAAATTTAGTTTTATATTAAATACATGTATATTTGAAAATTTTAGTAATACCAAAAAAAGTACTCTTATAAAATATATCAAAATGTATGTTGATTTTAATTTTTATTTTTAATTGTTGCTTTAAAAAAATTAATCCAGTTTTCAAAAGCTTTGTTATGTCTTTTTCAAATAATTCAAATAAGAAATACTCAAAGAATTAAAATTAAAAAATTGAAATGAAAAATTGACTATTTTCAATGCAATCACATATTGATTATTTAATTCATAGAATGATTTTTTGTAAATTTAAGATTGAAATGGTTATATTTTTTTATGGTTAGAATTATAGCTTCTTAATTCTTAACATAGATTTTAGTGTAAGTCCTTTTGATATCATAGTATTTAAAAAAAAACAAAAACAAAAACAAACAAAAAACAAACAAAAAAAAATAAAAAAATAAAAAAAAATCATTGAATATTCAGTGTAAACGATGTAAGAAAATAAATTTAAGTATACAAAAAGAATCCAGAAGTTAAAATGTTTTTAAAAAATTTGTAATAAATTTTATTTTATCAATTTGAGCTATATTCATAAAAATTTTGAAGTATTTGAGTTTTATTTTATCTATCTATCTATATTTATATATATTTGTATATATACACCAGTTATCAAGACAGTTTTTTTAATAAATCTATTTTACTATTTGAATAATGTTTTTTTAAAATTTGTGTTTACATACATGTAATTCTTTAAAAAGTACAATAAATTAAAACATAACTTAAGTTTTAGAATATTGTCCATGAACTGTATTGAGCCTATCACGAAATTTATATTTAGCTTTTAAAAACTAGATATTAGTTTTGATAGAATTATAATTGTCTCTTAAAATCTATAATCAAACAAAAAATAAGGGATATATATATATATATATATATATATAATCAGGTAGTAAAAGAAGATATATATTTTAAATATTTCGATTAAATTTTTAAAAATAACTTCAAATATCAAAAGAACTAGAATTCAAATTAAAAAATCGATAAAAATACATCTTTTAATTTATTCTGTAAAATGAAAAAAATGAGATTTAATTATAAATAGATTTTTAATTTAAGCTAAGACTCATTAAAAATTTTAAATGCATATATCTCTTTAACTAAAAGAGTAATTAAATATATGAATCAAAACAGATTTAAATGTACTGGCACAAAATATGTTTTTGAATAACGTTATTAGAAATATAAGTTTACGTGGAATACTTTTTTCTGTTTTTAATTTAATATAACCTTTCCTATAAACTAATTTTTTGTATAAATTGATAGATTGATGCAAGCCACTTCAAGTTTGAAAACTTTACATTCAAATGTATAGGAGAAATGTTTGTATTAATTCTATAAACAAACGAAAAAGAAAAACATTTTGCATAAAATTTCGGATAAAAAGCATTTTTATATTTTCAGCACAGAATAATATTTTTTGTATTTATTACAAGTTCGTAATAAACCAAAAGAGGAGAAGAACAATATTTTTAAGATCTAATAATATAAGCATGTTTATATTCAAGTGTTTGATTGATCTCTTTAATATTTTTGCATTATATAGCACATTCCGATCCAATTCAATTTTAGAAACACAAAAGCAGAAAAAAAATTGATGATATTATTATAAAAATTTAAAGAATAATGTTTTTGTGTGATTATCAATTTGATATTAGTTTTAGATAAAAATTCTAACCAACATAGTAAAATCAAGTTAATAGAGCTTTACAAATCTTCTAGTAATTGTATTATTCTAAAAATTGATAGACTTTCAGACAGCCGTTTATCTAAATTTAAATAACCCTAGATGCATTTTATATTAAAAATTACCAAATCATACAAATTTCAAATTTAATAGGAAGAAAACCACTTTAGTATGCTTATCTATTGTAAAAGAACCTTGCTTGTTTGTATTCTCTTTGTATTTGATTTGATAAATGAAATTATATGATAATTTTTTTTTTTTTTTTTTTGAAAAATCATTTTTTAAATAGAAATATGGTTATACATTTAAGGGAAGAGATTAATTTTTGAGTCAATCAATCTTTAACTTAAATGTATATATATTAAAGAATTTGAAGTTATTAAAACTAAAATAATTGAGTAGAAATGTAATAATACTAAAATTTTATTTTTACAGTTTTATAAATAAATTAAAATTCTATAAAGAGAGGAAAAAGAGTTGGATTTTTGTAAGCAAAGAAGAACTTAAATGTAAATCAATTATGTATGAAGAAATGAAGATTGAAAATAATTTATCCTATTTTACGGATAGATATCATTAAAAATAGCTAAACAATATCAATTAATGAAAAAGAAAGCATAAATAAATAAATATTTAATAAATATTTGTCTAATTATATCTATCTATTTATCGACCTTCAAGTAATCTGTAAAATTAAGAATTTGTGCAACATTGGAGGTATTGCAAAGAATTAAATTTGACATATTCAATCCTAAAATTGAATCACATTTTAGATGAAGACCAATTCTCATCTAGGATTGCAATCCATGGTTTTGGTGCACAAACATGCTCTCATACATAAAACAAAAAATAAAATAAAATAAAATGAACATCATATACAAGGACATGGACAAGTGGCTTTTTTATGGGGCCAAATTCTTGGAATGAGATGGGTCAACCTCTAGCATAGAAACTTGGGGGAATGCAGAATCCATAGTATTTTGATTTTTGTGGTTGTGAGATGTGATTGGGAAAACTCCAAGTGCTAATACCGAGGTAAAGGGAGAGAGAAGGTGAATGCTTGCATGAGAGGGTAAGCCACAAGGAATAGGTCCTGAATGTGGTTGGCCTTTCCTTGAATAGATAAGGCTCAGCTTTGGCTGCTTTTGCATTTATTGGTTCACAATGGAAGAATAAATAATATGTAATATTAATATTAATACCATTAAAATTAAAAAGGTTGCCTGAATATTGTTGAGGGGCTGTTTTGGTTTCCGACTTTGTCATACCAATGGGGAGCTTTGGCCATGCCAATGGCCTCTTCTTCTCCTTGCTTTCTCTTTCTTATACCATGTTTACATTCATTCTTATTGATTATACTATATATCTTTACATACATACATACATACATGCATGCATGCATGCATACATGCATACATACATACATTTTCTTCTTGTTCTTGAAGCTCACATTCCACCACACCTTTTGAGAGGAAAAAAACGTATCAGTTTGGGGTTCCCATTGCACCCTCATGGCCTATGATTTTGTTAAGACTATAGACCTTTTTCGTGCAAAACAATGCATTAAGTATATATATATATATATATGTATGTAGACACACTCACTAATAATGTATGTATGCACATATAAATACATAATAGCCTTACTCGAAATGAGATTATGGCCCCTAAGAATAAGCCCAAAAGAATGGAACAAATGGGAATGGGGCAGGGAGAGTGGGTCCCTTCCTACCATATAAAAAGCTAGGGTAGTTAGTTATGCTAAACCTAGAAAAAGTAGGTTGCTTCTTTATGGGACAGAGAAGGGCAGCCCGGAAAATAGGTTAAACAGTCTGGGTAGTACCAATGGCAACTGCCATTACATACAGCATAGATACAGTCCAATTGCCTCCTCATAATACATTAAGAATATGAAAGTAAGAAGAAGGAAGAAACATAAAACATTAAACATGTAACACTTAACATAAAAGGAAAAAAGAAAAGATGAGAGAGAGAGAGAGAGAGAGAGAGCAAGGACTCTCCCTACTCATCAATTATTTTAGGGAAGAAAATAAGGAAAGGAGAAAAGTGGACATGGGAAAAACAAAGAGGGTAAGAGTTGCATCCTTTAAAGGATGCAACACCTTTTTTTGTGTGTGTGTGTGTGTGTGTGTAGGATCAACAACACATTTCATTCCCTTTGTAAAAAGCCATGAGGTAGTTGATCAATAACTAACACAGGGTTGAACTTTCAAGATCCTTTTTGTACTCTCACACACACACTGGCCAACAGCTACAGCCAACAAAGGATAAACACCAACCTGAGAGAACAGCCTTTGTGGGAAGTTGTTGCTGTTGCTGTTGTTCCCTCCCTTTGCAGAACATACTTTTTGTCAGTTTTAGGGTTTCACTCTCAATAGCAGCCTTGTGGTAGCTTTTCCTTTCTTCTTTCTTCCTTGTAAACTGTGTAGTACCTCACCTGAGCAATAGGTACAGGTTTGTCTGTTGTATTTTCTTTTTCTTCTTCTCCTTTTTCTTTTTCTTGTAGCTCCATGACTTTTTCTTAGAGGGGCATTCGGGGGGGGGGGGGGGGGTTAGACCAAGTCATCCATGGCCCCCTTTACTCAGTGGCTTTGTGGAATAGACCAAGGCTTCCTTCCTCCCCCACACCTCTCAGTCCTTCAGTCCTTGGTAAAGGAGACAAAGCAAGACAGATGAATGCTCTCATCCATCCAACATTTTTTTTTTTTTTTTTTTTTTTTTTTTTGTTTTGTTTTGTTTTGTTTTTCCTTTATGTTTAAAACATTGTATTTTAAGTAAAACACTATGATTACAACCATTTTCCTTTGTGTCTATACGACATTTGTTTATTGATTGATGTTAGTTATTGTTATTGCTGTACCATCAAGCAAGCCGGTGTTACAGTGGCGAACGCCTACTGCGACTGGAACATTTCCTCCATATTGCTGAAATTTCAAAAGACTCTGGTCAGGCTATGGTTATGTTTGCGTAGGTATGAGCTGAAGTGTATTTGTTGCAAAGTCCAGAGCCGATGAATTGCAGTCTGTTGTAGACGGAGACTTGGTAGCAGGAGCGCATCTCTGTGGCTTTTTGTGTGTCAAGAATATATATAAATACAAACACACAAACTAACACACAGACACGCTCGGTCTCGCGCTCTCTCTCTCTCTATCTATCTATAATAGCTGCGGAGAATGTTCGTAGGGGAATTTGTAGCGCACATCTGGTCTGGAACGGGTGGTTGAATGAGGGTTTCCAAGTTCCAGTTAGCCGATTTATTGATGTCAGAGAGCTGTGCAAGAGGAGGAGGAGCTGTAGGAAACTCAGGTAGTTGCCGGTGCTTCAATACGCAGAGTTCTTGCGTGTTGAGAGACTCGATCGGCCATTTGCTTGGTTTTAAGGTATAGTTTTCAAATAGGGACACAGAAATGAAATCGAATTGAGGTGGAAATCAGAGGAGGCAATTGGTACGAGAAATTTCCTTGTGTGCTTGACAAGGTTTTCATAATTAGTGGTTGCTTCGACGGGTAATCGTGGGATCAGATTCTGTTAGGCGCGTCAAAAGGAGTTGCAATTCGAAGAAGTTTAAATGATGCCGTGCTGCTGCAGCATTAACTGCAACTCCTGGAGAATTTTCTTTTTAGACTCGGAGACTGTCGTGTTGGAGTGGAGCTTGATCTAAGCAGAGTGGAGGCACTCGATCAATTTCTTGTGGCTAGGACGTGGTGGAATTCTCGGTGAGTTAATCAGAGCTACGATGACTAGCTTGGTGTCTTTTGGATTCATTCTACTGAGAAATTGAATCCCCTTTCAAGTAGGTATGCATCAATGCTACGATTGAAGAACAGTGTTAGTTGTACGAGGTCGAATCGCTGATATGTGAATATAGGAGAAGGGAAACCATAGCATGACTGGGGAAACACTCTTCCTTTTTTAGTTGGAATGTGCAATCATCTGCTCGTTCGATAATTCCGATTTGGACAGTGAATTGCACTTACTCGTGGCTTTGTCTTAATTCGAGCCATATCTTTGGTAGAAACTTGTTTTCACTTGAATCCACAAGGATTGACGAAGAATCTGCTCGGAACATGTGCATCCCCTGTTATAAGATATCGTAATGCTGGTCGGATGCTATTCCTTTTGGAAGTGCATGTGGAACGTGTGATGAATCTTGTGCTTTCACGTTGCTTTCTTTTTTTAATTTTTTTTCTAAATCCAAGCAAACTATCGACTGAATCTGCTCAGTGAGTAAGCTAGCCTAGCTACAAGATTGCTACGGGTTACATAGTACGTACCTGCTGGTTCTAAATCTTTGCGAAGCTAGACTCAGAATGCAACGCGGCTTTGAACTTAGTAGCTCTGCACCAGGTAGCAGCACATTAAAATGCAGGATGTGCTGAAACCCTCTCCTCGCACTCCTACAAATTTTTGGCTATACAAATTTGCGTCTAAGATATGCAGGAGCTAGGGCGAAATTGGATTGTTGCCTATTTGTGTGTGGTCACTGCTTAGTATTCCGACCTCATGTTTCTTGAGAGGATTGCGTTAAATCAACTTTCAATGACTGTTGAGATTTAACTCAGAGAACGATATGCATGTGGACATTGTTCTCTGTAATCCTTGTGGGAATGGCTGGACGTATTTTGCGTATGTCATCATGATACGTTGGACGTGTTTTGCGTGAAATTAGCTTATTAATAGATTTAAGGTATCCCTCCCGAAATTCTGAGCAAAGAGATTGTTCAACCGACGTTGCAGCCCTGTTTAGAAGTTACCTTGGAAAATCTTTGCTCAACTTCGCAAATTTTATCGTGTACGTATGTGATGCTTTGACACCACAAACTACTGTAAATCCGTTTTTGTTGCAGAGCTGTACGCAAGCTCATGGCCGTGTCTTTCCAAGTAAGTTTGCACTTGAAAGAATATGCCCCTCTTTGGGATGTGAGGTCCTTCGGAATGACATTGACGTCACTGAAGTGGTTCCTGTGAGCTACTTATCTTTCAAAAGAGATGAAACATCGATTTAGACACCAGTACAAAATCGTGTTCTTCACTCCAGATCTGGTATCTCACTGTTCCTTGGGTGTTTCTTGACTCCATCTGTGGATTCGACTTCACGAAGTACACTCGGAAGAGTTGTATTCTGATAGGCAATTCAATTAAGCAACTTGTTTGTTTACAAATGCAGATGGTCTAAGTGTTGAAGTACGAGACTGGAAAAGTATGGCAAATCCAGGTTCTCCAGGAGCATATGATCCTCACAAGTTCTTCAGAGGGTCCCCTCAAAGCCCCTATCCGCCTCAGACAACTGGCTATCAACCCTCGTCTCCTGGTAACTCGTTCCACTACCAGCCTTTGCACCCATATTCAGCTGGTAATATTCCTCCTAGTAGCTTTTCTTCAAACACAAGCATGTATCCTGGTAGTCCAGGATTGAATTATGCCTACAACACTACACATTTTCGAGAAACAGGTTCCCCGGTATACCACGGGCCTCACTATAACCAAGACCACAGCCCTCGTCAAGATCCACATATAGCTTCTCAGTTCAGTCAACAATCTTCTCAACATCCCTCCTCCCCCTCTCATTCTAATCATTCTCGTATCCCAATTCCATCAATGATCCCGCCTCCACCAGTCTTTCCTCAATCCAGACCGTCGCAGTCGACATCTCTTCCCATGTCCTTACCTCAGGGGTCCGACAGGTTTAACCCTGCCTTTTCTCAACCACTGGATGGAGCTCGGCTGATGGCGCTTTTAACTACACAATCTGAAGGTGAAGGTGGAGAGGTTTATGAGGAAACAGTCTACGTTCCTGGAGCACCACAAAACTCACCTAGACCCCCGCTATTTCCATTTAGACCGATAGATGCGTCTCACAGCATTGGCACAGAGATACCTGGTACTCCCCAGCCCATGTCTCCAGCTCTATCCACTGTGCCACTCGTCCCCTTTGTACACTCTGCACAAGGTAGGCAAACTTCTAAACTTCCGAGAGGACGATATCTTAAGGGGGATCAAATTGTTTATGATGTGGATGCCCGTAAAGCTGGAGATGCTCAAGCTCAACTAGAAGTCAGCGCAATTGCCAAATATTATTCGGAAATAGCCTATCCGATGGGGAGGCAGATTGCTGTGAACAAGAATTTCGTCTTTTACTTGCTACGTAATGGTCAGATTCGTCTTCTCAACATTCATAATTCACAGCGAGCCTTGCTTCGTGGCCATACACAGGTCAGAGCCTGCATTTGTCAATGCTATTCTTGTCTGTCTAGTTCCATTGGTGTTAGGGTTTTGGTCATCGCTTTCATCTCGCTTCATTGGCAGCATAGACAAATTGTTCGTGAATTCCTGGGTCTGAAGGTTAACAAATGATGTTTTCTTTCTTCTTGCGGCAGCGGGTAACTGACATGACATTTCTTTCAGAAGACGATTCCATCCTGGCTAGGTAGGCCTTTTTCATTGATTCAGAATGTTCATTTAATGACCTCTCGCTTCATACTGTACGTGCTAATTTTTCTCGGTATTCGATTTATTTGAATTGATTTCAGGGAAGCATGATCGTGTTATTCTTGTCTTAGGAACAGCTTGAAATTGTTTCATGGACATGGAATAGCATTTGGAGATCTTTTTTCTGTCACCAACATGAAATGAGAGCAAATATTAGTTCTTTTCTGGGCACAATTCCAGCGGTTGCCATATTTGCGTCATTGGAAGTTTATTCATGATCAAATACATTTCTTTATATTGATATGCTTGGCTTAAAGTTTTATTGCATTCCACCGTGATTTTCTTGCAGTGCTAGCCAAGACGGACGAGTCTACATCCGCAGGATTATAGAGGGACATGGAGAGGATGGAAAACCTACGGAACAGATAATACTAGCCCTGCAATTTGTTGGTACTTGGGAGAGATGTCATCCTCGCCTATGCTGGCATTCTCAGAAACAGGTGTCTCATTTGACATTCACAACCGTCAATGTGTACACATCTATGGGTGTTTTCATTTTTTCCAAGTGATGAGCACTTACGTTCTCTGAAGATATGGAATTTTGGAAAGTACAACTATCTCAATTGCTGTTCATAACATCGTTGATATTGTAGAATTTTGAAACTGATTCCTCAACCATAAATCTCATTAGGATGTCCAAAATTTCACGGTCATGTAGTATGTTGGGAAGGTTTGTTTAGTCACATGCACATGTTGGTAATCGTTGCTTTTACCGTAGTCATTTGGCTTTTATCATCTAAAAGTTGGACATGAAATACATCAGAAACTCATACTAAAGATGATTGAAATCTTTTCTGTTGACAAATACATGTTATTTGGGAAATTATTGAAACTTCATTTGCTAACATTTGGATTTTAATGCAGGGATCCTTGGTGGTTGCTGTCGGGAAATTTGTAATTGCTATAGATGTAGCACAAGTAGCAGCACAAGGGGGATCAAATATGGATGTACTTGTGGAGTGTCGTGTGGACCATCCAATAAAAGGAGTTCATGTGATTGGGCAGCATAATGACGATGTTACGGAATTGGCAACCTGTGCATCAGGAGCTGCTTGTCTGGCATCTGCCTCCAAAGATGGAACAGTGAGTCTCGATAATCGCTTTTCAAGGCGTTGTAGTTGGATGTCTAGTCATTGTCTAATAACTAGTGCTATTCAACCTGGAATTCTGGAATCAGTGTTTGCAAGAGCTGCTTAGAGGGAAGATGAGTTGGTTGGTTAAGACTCCACGTTGTGAAAAGTTGGAGACTTGTCAAAATCTCTGCATGGCAACCCCTTCGCCTGTCGAGTCTCACTTTTGAAGGGCTTGACTTAGCACCTGAACAACCTGAAATTTTCAGATCTAAATCGGATTCATGATTAGCAGCATGGCGATTATTTCAGAACTGTAGTGTGTGCAATTCATGTTGCTGGTTAGAAATTTCCAGCAGCTAGTTCATATCTTTAGGCTGCTCGAAGCACGCTACATCAATTGAACGGCTATGCCTTCAACAAGTATTTAACGAATGATTTCCTGCTTTGAACAAGACATCTCAAAATTGCAGTAACGTTCACAAGCTACCTGTTAGCTTGTGAGCTGTTCTGAAGAGGGTCAATTCTCTCCACGTTAATAGTGGCCACTTCGAGAAGAGGTGATTATGCATCGTCTGTTTGTTTGCATTAGAATGTAGGTTTGAAAGAATCTGCAACCGTCCATGCTTGAAATTTTTGTTTGTAAAGCCAGTAGGAAGGTTGTGTGCCTTCTTTGAAGAAACTGAAGCTGTCAACAAGTTATTTACTACTATTTTTCTCTGCCTGAAAGGTTCGGTTTTGGAGCGAAAGGAAGCATTGCCAGGCATCAGTATTCGTTCCATACGACGGAAATCCTGTGGACACAGTCGCTTTTCTACCGCCACCGCGAGGCACAGATGGACAGTTCCTACTGACGGGGGTAACTTAATACACCAATTTTCTTATTTTATTTTATTACCGTCTGGCGTGATAGGCATTTGTAGCGATTGAAGCTCAAACTCAAGAAAACAATTTGCTGGGGCATCTTTGTGTGCTTGTGATCGTGATTTTCAGATTCATGTCTTGCTCACCTTCTTGGCTTGCATTGTTTGATTTGTGAACCTTAACAGAAAAACTAAAATTTCAGAGTTCTGTACAATTTAAACCTTCTAACGCTGAACCTGCTTAGTGTTACTGTTTTTCCACCTTTTCATTTTCCTAATATTTCTCAATCCTCACAGTCAAAACGTCAACCGCTACTGCGGACTATAGTATTACGTGGTACTACTTTGAAAGTAGATGGCAGCATACTTCAATGTGCAACGAGAAGTCTTCTCCATGGGAAGTTCGCAGAGACTTTACTTTGCAATAACGATTAGGAATGCTTTACGAAAACAAATAGTAAATATGGTGGATTTGTTTTAGCAGGGACCTGTCAATCGAGAGTTGAAACTGTGGGCATATGATGATCAGTCTACCCAACCAGGCCTTGGAGTTTGGCGGTGCATGCAGACGCTCGAGTTTCAGAGCAACGGCAAATCAGAGATTGCATTTTTCAATCAGTTTGTTGTCTCTTCTCGAGCAAATCTAATTATTCTGGCGAACGCTAAAAAACACGCAATATACGCGATCCACTATGAATTTGCGTCGACTTCTGGCAGTCCTCGCTTTGACTACCTCACTGAGTTTGCTGTGGCAACGTCTATTCTTAGTTTGACTGTTGATGACGATGGAGTCAGTGATAGTGGTGAAGGCATTCTCAAAATATTCTGTCAGCAGACACAAGCAATTCTGCAGTGTACCGTTGACATGTCACAGTGTCTGCCCAATCCAGCAGACGGACTCACCACGAATGGATCAACTCCGAACACACCAAAGAAAGGGTTGGGGTTGGTTCCGGCAGCTGGGACACCGACTTCCTCATCTTTTCCACCTTTTGAAAAAGCTCATCCGAAGTTGATGGCCAACTCAACAACGCCTGGAGTGAGCAATGCATCTTTAAATTCAAATCTTGGTATTCCTCCTCGGCCCGCAGCTCTCGGAAATCTGACCGAATTGGGTTACTCTGGTCAAGTACTAGTAAATCCTTCAGAAATGAATAAGGCTTTTGATGCTAACAAATTAACCTTACTGCGAGATTCTAAAGAGGGAGCAGTAAGGCCGAGCAGTCCAGTAATACAGTCCGGCCTAACATCTTCGAATCTATCAAAGCCACCAACACCACCCCCGAAAAGACGCCTTAGGCCCAGAAGCCCAGCAAAAGGAGAAATTCAGTATCCTTCTGGTTCCACTGGTCTTTCTAGATACAGGGCGGAAAAAGTAGAAGAAACAAAGGATATTTTGCCGGATTCGGAAGGTAGTGCTGGTAGAAATCAGTCTTCTTTCAACAGTAATTCCATGGAGGATGAAACAGGAGATCAAGAAGACAGAGACGGGGTTTCCAGCAGCAGCACTGGAAATCCAGTAACTACTCAGCTGCAGACGAGTCCACAACTCATTAGTCCCTCTGATATCATATCCATGGCAACTGGTAATAAACGGGATTCACAAAATCAAGATGCTGGGTTTGATCTTATGGATGTTTCAGATTGGCAAGACGATGCGAAGGAAAGAAACGTGGCGGTTGATAAGGTGAGAGTGACGTGGTCCTCTGAAGTTTTGGTTCGCAATCGGGAAGAAGTTAGTGAATCTCCTTCCAGCCCTCCTATTTTTGACTCCTCTGTAAAACAAGATGGAGCGGGCACAGAATATTTCGAAAAAGAGATGACAACCGAGAGCAATAGCGGCCCTGCTGCTACAACTGACGAAGTCCAAGAGAGAGACTTCATCGAGGACAAAGAGCGGTCTGCTCCTGATGATTTACAGGATCAACTTAGAAGCATAGCACTCAAGCTAGACCGGCAATCTGGTAATATCGTTGCTGGCATGCTCTCTCCAACGTCGTCAGCAGTGAAAGGAAGGAAGAGTAAGAACAAGAATGGGGGTGCAGCAAGCGTGCCCTTGCCTTCATCTCTGCAGCTACGAACTAGTTCTGTGACGGGTTCATCAAAAGAAGTTGGGTCTAGTTCAACTCCATCTTCTACAAGCATGATTGCGCAGGTGGCTTCTATGCAAGAGTCAATCTTCCAGGTCCTCTCCCTCGGCCCTTACCGTGTTATTTTACTACACCAACATACGAACTCTATTTGTAACTATACATTAGTAGTGTTGCCGTAATAATTTAATCGGTACAATAAAATTAAGACGCTGTTCATGGATTGTTGAGGATTGAAGACAATTGTGAGTTGCAGACTACAACTGCCACCATTTTCTGCTGTTCTACAATTCAACAATTGGACACAGCAAATAAGAAACGTGGGATAACTTTTACCTGCATAAATTGTTTAATGAGACAATGATATAATTTTTGCCACAACCTTAAATTCAAGCTTATATAGCATATTCATAAGAAGCTTAGAAGTTGATGGTATGTTCCTAACATCAGCAAGGAGGCTGATAAAATTTCTCTCGTACTTTTCCAGTTGATTGAAATGCAGAAGGAGCTGCAGAAGCAATTTATAACGATAGTAGCCAATCCGGTAGTGAAGGAGGGCAAGCGATTGGAAGGTTGTAAACACACGACCTTTTTTTGATTGTTTATTTGTAAAGGGAAAGCCGATGGACTTATTTAAAAACACGATTTTTATTATTTCGACACGTAGAATCCTATTTTGCACTCTTTGACTACTAGACATTCTGATGCTGTCTAGTTTGGGTTTTTGATGTGTCTTAAGTGACCTTGGGCCAACGATTGGAGAAAGTCATGAAGGCTAATGTGGACTCCATCTGGATACGACTTGCCGAAGAAAATGTCAAAAGAGAAAAACAGGAACGTGAAAGGATTCAGCAAATTACCGCACTACTTAACGGTTTCTCAGTCAAGGATTTGCCAGCTGCCTTGGAGCTTGGTCTCAAGAAAGAAGTCAATGCTATTGCAGCTACTATCTCTCAGACCTTGGTTGTTCCTGTTCAAAATGCATTAACAGCTGCCCTTGCAGAAAATTTTCAGGTACGTTTCAGGTTGTCGGTATATTGACAAGTTTTTTGTCCACGCGAAAATTGGTGCTTTCTAGACTTGCACTTGAAATAAGCAACTTTAATGTTTATGCTATGACATATATGCAATACAGCAACTTATACTTGCGCTTATTGACTTGCTAGTAAGTCGTTGTCAATTCGATGAAAGAGAAACTAACACAAGGTTCGCCTGGTTTGCTGGGCTTGTGTACAGAAGAGTCTCATAGAAAAAGTGGTGCCTCAGATGGAAAAGACAGTTTCTAAGCTGGAAGGAACCATGACCAAGCAGCTCAAATTCCAGTTTCAGACGGCTGGAAAGCAGGCATTGCAAGTAAGGCTATCATTTTCCGGTCACGCATTCTTTGAAAAGACACCCTTTACTCGGAACTCTCCAGGGTGATGATCTTTGTTGGACCAGAGTACAATTTTTTGTTATTATCGTTTAGCTGAGCTCCGAACTACACGCAACGGTTAGATATAATTGCCTTTGTTGATCATCATTTAATTTGGACACACGTTGTTTCAGGATGGAATTCGTGCAGGTTTTGAGACCTTGATTATTCCGACATTTGAGCGATCTTGTAAGGCTATGTTTGATGAAGTCAATAGTGTCTTTCAAACGGGAATGGCAGAATACAGCTCCCAGGTTCAGAGAGAATTCGCATCAACGCATACTGCGCTTGCCACCAACCTCCAGGTTTACACAAAAACACTCCGTCAATTTACATTATTTCTGATCCTGTTTTAGGGGGTTATTCTATGAAGTTAGTTATGTGCAAATCCTGTTCTGTAATGGCAAGTTCATGTTTTTTAGGGGAACCGAGAACGGTAATGGTAAGGCAATCTTGCCACCAGGATTTCTGTAGATATATTGTTACTTCCCAGAAATTTTGCAAGCACTAATCAATTTATTGACAATCTTAGCATGTTTAGTTACTTTTTAGCCTCTGTGGATGGGGTGGCAGGATTTGGTGACAGGAGCATCATCTCTTGCCAAGACCTTGAACGAAGAGATTGTACAGAGCATGACAAAACTTTTGGAACTTATAAAAATGGCGGATGGAAGTGGGGATGTGGACCAACCCAATAACAATTTGCCAGATCAGGTCCTGATTAAAGAATCACCTCCCAAGTTGTTTGTTTAATGGTGTTTGAAAATTTTGTTGACAGGTCAAGTGACAGTTATTGATGTCTCTAACAGATTCGGTTTTCACTAGTCTATCTGTTTATTATTTGTAATTTTGAACACACATATGAGAAATGAACTAATGCTTTTGAACCAAATTAATATCAGGTATATTCGTTGCGGCGCTCGGAGGAATCCTTGGACCCAACGATTGAGATTGGCAGATTACTTCATGGAGGGATGATGGAGGAAGCTTTTAACAAGGCTCTGACAGCTGGTGATCTGCAAGTCGTGTTCTGGCTGTGCAATCAGGTTTGCTGCATTTCAAATCATCAAATCCTTGTTTGCTCACCTTCGTGGCTGACGTGCGGGCAGTTCAGTCATTATATTAGTGAAACCTTTATCCTTTTAAGTCGCTGGCCCTAAGTGATGATGGGCTACTGTAATATGTGGTTTCTCGGGTCCTTGTCTAACTTGATCGTCTGTGCCAGCTCGATCCTGTTTCCCTTCTTTCAGCGGAGCCTCTTCCCGTAAGCCAAGGTGTGCTGTTGTCCTTGGTGCAGCAGCTTTCATCTGATTTATCGAAGGATACAGGGCAAAAACTTAGGTGGATTAAAGAAGCAACCTTAGCTCTCAATCCAAAAGATTCTGTTTTAGGCCCGCACATGCATTATTTCTTGGAACAGTCGTACCATAATTGCGTTCATCAAATGAGCGTTTCAAAGGATCCGTCGGAGCAAGTAACTCTGAAGCTTGTCATACATGTTATCAACTCTTTGTTGAGTTCATGCAAATGACGAAGGTTACTGTATATATAATGGTGAATCTGGAGTCGTGTGAAGAATAGGATCAACTTCTCAGATACATAATGGCGTACGGAAATAGGAAAAGGAGGAGGTATTCGATGAGTATGACGAAGATGCGATGCCTTACAACAATTGGTTCCAAGCCTACTCAGTTACCATATGCTCCTATGTCTGATCATTTCCACACCACATGCCTGTACGAAAAGACGACCACATTTACCTCAGGACCTCATATCGAATTCAGGACCTTGCATACATGAGACCTCTTATGAGGTTCAACGTCGGCATTTTGTCAAGGTGTGAGGAGTGAGTGTATGTTTCAGTTTCTTCCATCCACTTTTCCCAATTTCTCGCAGATGTATGTACTTCTAGGTATGTAGCTATCCGATTGCTAGAGTGCACCCATTTACAAATCTTCCCATTCAGTTTGGAACACAAATTGCGTTTTTAGGACCGTCCATAACATTTCATCAATCGATTGATAATTCCATGTGTGATGCTCTCATAGAAATGGTGACTTAAGCACAGATGCTAAATGCATACTTGATAAACCTATGGTGGCCGAATGTAGTACTAACACTGATCAAATAGGGGGTGTTGGGGATAAAATTCACAGGTAAGCTAATTCGGGTGGCAGATATCTTCTTGTGTAATATTATGATTGCTGATAAGGCCTAACGTGCTCTTCAAAAAAGAGCTGAAGAACACAATTACTCCATGGTAAGCACCGAACAAGAGAGTACCATGCTTCAGCTACAGATTTTATTAGTGCAGCACGAAATTTGATTGCACATCTTAAAATTTTCAGATATAGACGCCAAGGAAAGTATAACAAGATTGGAGTAACCACGAAACTAGTACCCACTGAACCATCAAACCCAACCTCCTCAACAGCTGGCCATTAGTGTTGTCCTAAATCCTAGTAATCTTACGTGGGGCATGGAAGGACCGATTGCACAGATGATACTGTAATAGCTTGCAAGTTAATTGATGAAATCTAGAAAGCTCGTCTTGACCACTACTGAAGGCACCTTTAGAGAAGCATTTTTAATGGCCCAGCTAACAACCAGTAAAGACTGGCAATGCATTGCTGCAAGGGATTATAAAAAAAACCTGGAGTCATGAACCCACTATACAGTGCTCTGATCACTGCTGTCTAGTCGAGGGATGATTTTAATATATAGTAAATAGATCGCAATTCATCACAATTTTACTGGGGAATTAAATGCATATTTTGGCCCTTAGGCAAAGGATTATTTTAGTGGTCACATCCAATGTGATGAAGATTAAGTCACAAGCACCTATTAACTTCAACGATGACAGTGCTTGTTGATTATCACTTTTTTGTTTGTTTGTTTTGTATTGTGCCCTTGTTGGAGGACATGTTCAACAGAAAGAAAGAAAGAAAATTAATACTCCTACAATAGAGAGAACAAATGAACATTCTCATGAAAAAATAGTTCACACTAGAAAGTTCATGTGAATATACTATGGCTTGTCTTATAAGAACTAAAACCTGAGATTCATTTTAAGCAATTAGTTTTTTTGAATCATCAATGATTAGATAGTGAATTCATATCTATTTCATATCAATATACTTCTATTATATAGCAATACATACCTTATATTTTTTGACATGATTTCAAAGCTTGGCACTCTAGATCATTCTTTGCAGATTGAGTGGATTGTATGAGATTATTTTGCTAGACTTGGTCTTTTGATTGCATTTTAGGAAGCTATTTTTTATAGATTAAATTTTGTGAACTTAAATCCAAATTTTAGAAATCCTTGGTAGCTCTTCTAGAAGCAATGTGAGATTTTTGAAAAAAAATTTATAACATAAGTTTTATTGAAAACAACCCTTGGAGCTTCAAAAACTCTTAACTTGAAGCTTGTAATATGTTTGATGTTCAATAGTAAGCAAATAAAGTGGAGAACAAGGAAGTGCTCTATTAGGAATGCATGGTCGGTTTAAGAATATAGTAGCAATAATAGCAAGATTGGATGACAACAATAAGAAGTATGCTTTGAGCAAGACCGAGAAACAATAATAACAAACATATTTTGGGAATCCATAGCGTCTTTGAAAACTTTGCATGAGAACTATGATTTCAATCTAGCAAAGTTTCAACTACTTTAAAGATTAAATTTGTGAATTTTTATGTTTTTTTTTATTTTTATTTTTTTTCAATAATATTCAATTTGAGATGTTCTAACTTTCTCAATATTGGAAGTTTGGACTTAAAAGTTTTTAAGAGTCCTTGTGGTGCAATACTACATACATACAAATTATTATTATTATTATTATTATTATTATTTTGGATTTTTTTTAGAATTTATATTAGAAGATTATAAGTAGGTATTAAGCTTCACTTAGATTCCATATCTATCCATCTTCAATTATTATTATTATTATTATTATTATTATTTAATTTTAGATATATTCATTGCAACATGGCAATAGAGTATTATATGATAAAAAAATTGATGGAGATAATTGGCAAATTTAAAAGAAAAAAATCAAGTTTATTCTTATTGACAAGGATTTATGGAAGATTGTTTGTAGAAAGTATAAGAAACATATTGGATCATCTATAGATCCTATAAAGTTGGAAAAATAGAATGATACAAATTAAAAGACATTGTTTGTAATATGTCTATATTTTAAAAATATAGAATTTCTTATTACAAGCAAGGCAAAAAGTGTAAAGGCCATATGGAAGGAATAGGAAGAAATATATAAAGTAAAAAATACTTCAAGCTTATTATACTTGATTTGCAAGTTTTAGACTATATAAATGAGTGAAGATGACAACATTGTCACTTATATATGTAAATTATGAAAAACATTTAACTAGATTTTTTTTATTGGAAAAAACAATTTTAACACAAACCTTGTCATGGTAATATTAGAGAATCTTTTGAAATCATTCTATACATTAGAAGTGACATTAGAAATGAGACTTCTAACTAAATTGACATTGCAAATGGTCATAACTTAGATATTACAATAAGAGTTACACAACAAAGATATAGGATTAACCTTAGAAGTGGCATTAGTAGTAAGTAACAAATCCAAGTCACATTCTTATAATCATAATAAAAATAGACATTTACATGACCATAACAAGAATGCCAAATGTAGGTATTGTGGCAAGAAAGAATACTATAAGAAAGTATATTGAATCAAAGAGAAGGACAAAAAGTCAAGAAAGTTGAAGAAGACTTTACAAAAGCAAAAAGCTAATACAATAGATAAGAAGGATTTTAGTACAAATGGTGAATTTATGTTTGTAGCTATATTATATATTACAATGAATCATAAAGAGTAGTATATTAACTTAGGTGCTTCACAGCAAGTAATAAGAAATTGAAGTTAATTTTTAAATTATAAGAATCTTTCATCTGGTCCTAAGATATATTTAGGAGACGATACATGATTTATCATGAAAAGAAATAATAATATTTCTTTTAAATTTTCAAATAATATTAAAAAAGTTTTGAATGAAATTTCGCATATATAAGGACTTACAAAGAATTTACTATTAATTAGTCAAATGACAAATCAAGGACATGAAGTGAGATCCAAAATAGATACTTGTTTTATGAAGTGCAACAATACAATCATCAAAGGTATTACATTAGACAACTTATACAAGTGGTTAATTACTTTTGAGGAGAAGAAAACTTCACTTATTTTTGAAGTGAAGCATAGTTTGAATAAAGCTTATTTATAGCATCAACAATTTAGTCATCTTGGCATTTTCAGCTTAAAGATATTTCATATTAATAATATGATTATGCATTTGAATCTAAGCAAGTACTCAAAGTTAGAGTTTTGCAAAAGATGTATTTATGATAAAGAACATTGTAATATTTTTCCAATGTAAGGTGGTACTTGTGTAACAAAACTTTAGAAATTGATACATTTTAATGTAAATGATTCTACAAGAACTATATTACATAGAGAAATAAAATATTTTTTTAGTTATATTGATGATTTGTTAAGAAAGTTTTTTGTGAACTTCATCAATAAAAAGTCTACAATTTTAGATAAATTCAAAAAAAATATATTAAGGCTCTTGTTGAAAACAAACTAATTTAGAGATTCAAAAATTACATAATGATAATAGTGGCAAATAAACATTCAAAATTTTAAAATAATTATGTGAAAAAAATGGAATTGAACAAACAATTTCTACGCCTTATATACCTCAGCAAAATAAAGTTGCAGAGCACAAAAATAAAATACTATTTAAAAGTGTAAGGTGCATATTGTAGCATAGGCAGCTTTCTAATGTATTTTAGATAAAAGTTATTAATACAATAACATATGTTTTTAATTAAGCTCCTACTACAATTGTGGAAGAGAAAACACCCAAAGAAATATAATCTGCTATAAAACCTTTAGTTCAATACCTTCACGTATTTAAATATGATTTTATCACAAATATATATATTTATTCTAATAATTACCTATATGATTAGATAAAATTAAGTAAAAATAAATTAATTTCATAATATCTTCTAAAGAAGCTTTTTAGAAGCTTCATAGATACAATTTTGGATTTATACATATTTGTAGTTGATTGGTAGGTTAAAAACTTGATCAAAAAATTAACCATATGTCACACATGTTGGTAGCTTGTGAAACAATATAACTATGTGGCGCTCATATAAAAAACTTGCCTTATAAGTTAAGATATGTGTTTTGCAAAGTCAACACATATTGGAAGTCCTATAGAATATTGCCACATAACTTTTAGTTAGATAATATATATGGAGGCAAGAATGAAGCCTTTTTCACTCTTGTCAATGTCTTTTTAGTCATTAGTCTTCGTTGAAGACTTCTTAGTCTTTTTGTCTTTGACAATAGCTATTTTATTTTAATATTATACCATCTTTGAATGATTCTTCAACCTTTTTGAGCAACTTTTTAAACAAGAGTGTATTGATCTTTTAGTTCTTTAAAATTCATGTCCTTAACAAATATCTATATTCATGTTTCAGATAAAAAATATACAAAATTTGATCCTAAAAATAAAAAATATATTTTTTGCAGCTATATTTAAGATACTAAGTATTATCATCTTTATAATATTAAAAATTATTTAATTATTAAAAGACGTAATATTAAGTTTGCTAAATGTGAGAGTAGTAAGCAAATGGAAGGAACTTTAGAAATTTTTTAATAACAAATTTTAGCAAATAGTAGTTAAAATTAAGTCTATAGATTTTATATATAATTTTGAAAGTAAAAGTGAAGATGTAGAGAGAGATTTAGATAGTGGCAACAATCAAAAATATTATGGATATTCAAAAAAAAAAAATTGAAAATATTTTTAGAATATTCTATTAAATTCTAGAAGATTTAAAAAATATTCTTAGAATATTTTTAGAATATTTTTTAAAATTCTACAAAGTTCTAATAGGATTAACAAAATTGCTTTAGAAGCTTCGTAGGATTGCTTCATCATCAAGTAACATGGAAACTTTTCAAGAAGCTTCCTA